CCAAAATACTAAACCACCATATATTTCCCCACGGGGATTAATAAAGTGTTCATTATTATCATCATCATTACAGCTGAAAGGACCTATATTATATTAGCTATTAACATATATGATTTGGCACAAATCACAAAATGTTTTGAAGCAGAAAAATAATCGGTGTGCATCGATGTCTGTGTACTGGACATCACAATTCTGTCATTAAAAACGACCACCTTACTTAATTCCGTAAAGATATTAAAGCCAGAAAACTGAATATCGAATATATGAGGCTAACTTAACCGCGGTGACAGGTTCCAAGTCGTTTTCTCACTATCTCCATTACGGCACGTACCCCAAACTTACGGCATGTAACCCCAAATTTACGGCACGTAACACCCCCGCACACAAGAGTGAACCCCGACAGGAATTCACAATCAGAAATAGGAGTGTTACACTGTGGTACTGTCTTAGGATGCCGCCTTTGTAATAAGTCAGTTTATGAAATTTCTTCCCTGCTGGATATTCCACAGTCAACTGAAAGTGGTACTGTATTACTGTTACAGTAAGTGTAAGTGTTTAGGAACAACAGAAGCTAAGGCCACAAATTGGCTAACCATGTAAAATAACAGAGCAGAGTTGCAGAGAGCTGAGGTGCATAGTGTGTAAAAGTTTCCAACGCTCTGTTGACCCCGTCACTGCAGAGTTCCAAACTAATTCTGGCATTAACTCCAGCATGAAAACGGTGTGGCAGGTGCCTCATGGGATGGAGCTGCATGCAAGGCTCACATCACCAAGTGCAATGCCAGGCGTTGGATGGAGTGGTGTAAAGCATGTCCGCACTGGACTTTGGAGGAGTGGAAACATGTTCTGTGGAGGGACAAATCACATTCTGTCTGTCTGTCAGTGTCTGACTTCAGAAATGCTCTTCTGGATGAATGGGCAAAAATTACCAGACACACTCCAGAATCTTGTGGAAAGCCTTCCCAGAGGAATGGCAGCTGTTATAGTTGCAACGGGGGAGGGGGGATGTCATAAAATTCCTGTAGGTGTAACAACCAGGTGTGTGTGCGTATGTGTCTGTGTGTATGTGTAGATTAGGGGGACCATTTTTCAGCTCCCTACAAAAATATCTGTGAATGCAATCAAAAAATGGCAAAAGTTTTGGATTTTGTTTGAGTACTAATGGTTAAGGTTAGGGCTGGGTAGGGGTTAAGGCTGTCATGATGGGATTAAAGTGTTCCCCACAGAGATATAATTACAAACCTGTGTGTGTGTGTGTATGTGTGAATGTTTCCACAATGTGATAACAACCTGCAACGTTTACTTTGTGGGAACATTTTTTGATCTCCAAAAGGATAACCTCAGTTTTATAAAAATCTGTGAATACAATCAAAAAAATGACAAATGCTAAGAGTCTTGTATTTTCTTTGGTTACTTATGGTTAAGGTTAAGGCTGCGTAGGGGTTAAGGTCATCATTGTTGGATTAGGGTTTCTTGTTTTTTTTCCCATAGAAATCAATGGAGAATCCCCATAAAGATGGGAATACATGGACTGTTTGTGTGTATATAAGTTTCAGTATAATGAATATATAAAGAATGCATTTCTGTGAGATGAAACTGACAGGCTGATGGATTAACATTATCATCGAAGACATACAGAAATAACCAGATTTGTCTGAATCTGCATGTAAATTTAGTAGATGTGTGTGTGACATCTCTTACAGGTGTAGGGCCCTGTAAACATGAAAGAACGATATAATATGATTGTCTTTTGGCAGATTTATTCATTATGTAAACTGGTGGGGCCCTTTTTATGAGAAATATCTCAAGTGCCATATGACAGAAACTGACCTGAAATCAGTAGAAGCTTCAGCAGAAGAAACACATTACAACCCATCATGCTGATCCAAGAGGCTGCATAAAACATTGATTATGGTACAGATCATTTAACATACATTTCAGCACATATACACACAGACACATTTTGCAATGCTATATTTATAGGGACTCCCTTTCAAATCCCATTTTACAATAATTTAAATAACGTGTAGAGCAGGAGTGGCCTAATCCCCAAAGGGCCGGTGTGTCTGCAGGTTTTTGGGAAACCTGTAGGTCAGCTGGTCAAACTCAGGTGTGGGGACTCCTCAGCCAATCAGTCCTCTAATTAATAATGTAATTAGGGAGGTGCAGTGAAAGCCTGCATACACACCTGCCTTTCTGGGTAAGATTGGCCACTCCTGCTTTAGAGTAACAAAGCACTCCAGACTCCATATATATATAGTAACAGAAATGTTTGAAAAGTAACATATTTTGCATTATTCTTTAAATCTAAAGCTATCACAGGTGGGATTCCCCAGTGTGGTAGGAGTTGAAGTCCTCTGCGGAAAACATGGATGGTTAAAGTCATGCGATTCTGCTGGTTTTTTATTATGTTTTGGTGCTTATTTAAATTTTAGATGTGCTTATTTTAATTTCCTTCTTTTTCTTCCTTTAAAATGTCTCTATAACACTTTGTAAATTGTGTGGTTAAAATAATGCTATATAAATAAAGAGATATAGATTGATTGATTACTATGGATTTATTTGTTGCACATATATAATGTATTTACGCTCTAACTGTATGGTTCTTAAACCTGCTCTTTGTACCTAGACCAGCAACAGAAATGTATTTCCCCCCTGGAGACCAATAAAGTATGTTTACCAACCTACCCACTATCCATGTAATATTCCATTTGAGGGAACTGATAGTGTAATACTACACATATAGTTAAGTATTGTTTCACTCTGCACCAACCTATGTCACTGTAGATTCACATTACAAATATGCATATATATTTAAAATGTATGTATATGCAGCATATTTTCTTTGGAGTGTATAACATTTAGAGTAATAAAGCATTTCAAACTCCTTTCAAAAACAGAAGTTCCATATATGTATATACCATTATTTATATATACCTGTATATATATTATGGCAAGCCAAACAGGAAATATTTAATCATCTTTGATATATATGGAATGAAACCCGATATATATGGAATGAAACCTGATATATATACAATGAAACTCGGAATATATATGGAATGAAACCCGATATATATGGAATGAAACC